TCTGCCTGTCTCCGTCTAACGCTGAGCTGCCCCCTTGCAACACCTGCTCGATGCCTTGGAACACTGAGCTGCCTCCTTACAACATCTGCCTGTCTCCGCCTAATGCTGAGCTGCTCCCTTGCAACATCTGGCTGCCCCCTTGGAACGCGAAGGTACCTCCGTGGAATGCGGGGCTGCCCCCGTGGAACGTCTGATCCCCGCGGCCTTTAACACTGCGGCAAATCCCCCACAGGGCCGCGCTTCTCCCTACCTGGACAGTGTAGACCCAGCCCACGTCCATGTGGCTGTGAGGCACCACGAAGGCCCTCAGATGGCCGGGCGCTCGGCCTCGGAGGCCGCTCGCTTGCGGCGACGACAGCAGCCACAGGGGCAGGAGCCACAGGGGCAGGAGCCACAGGGGCCAGGACGAGAGCTTCATCCTGGAGGCCGGACAAGACGCCTACCCTACCGATCCAAGCTAGCCGAGGCGGATCCCGGGCTCCTGGGCTTCCGTACCCGCCCCCTCACTCCTCCCCTCCCCCCGGGGACAGGGTGGGGGGTGGGGGGGTGGGGTAAACGCGGCTACGGCGAGCCAGAAGGGACGCGCTGCTCCGAGGAGGCCGCATGCGCGCTCCCCTCCCCCAGGCCTAGGGTGGGGGTGGAAGATGAATCCATTAATTGTGTAATTAATAGTGTGTGCAGTGTATAATTTGCTCATGCAGATAATTACAATTAATAGTCTTCCAGGGACCGCGTAGTGGGGGGAGGAGGCGCTGCCTTTCTTTGACAACGGTGGCGGGCGGGAGGCTGCCGCGTCGCTACCATGGAGAGTTCACTGTGCAGCCGGAGCCCGCGGCAAGCGCCGCGCCCCGCCCCGCCCCGCCCCACTCCCGGGAGGCTGGCGGGCTGCGCAGCTCCCTGCAGCCCTGCAGAGTCCCGAGTGCGAGCCCCGCTGGGCACAAGACAGGAAACTGAGGCTGCGCCGAGTGGGCGCGGAATAAGCGCTTTGCCTATCTTAGAGTTGGCAGGGGCTCTCCGGGGGTCCCGACTCTCTATCCACTGAGCCAATGGGCTGCCTTAGCTGTGGGGGTCTGCTGAAGCCTGTGGACCCCTTCTAAGAATCATGTGTTTTCTATGCATAAAATAAAAAAGGAGAAGATTGCAAAGGAAACCGAAGGTTAGTGAAAATAAAGTCGTAATTTTCCTTTCCCCATCCAAGCTCTGGAACCCCCTGAAATCCATCTGTGACCCCACCCAGGTTAAGAATCTTTCATCTGGTCCAACTCTCCCATTTTACAGGTGAGGAAACTAAGTCAGAGGGAGTCGAAGTGGCAGGCGCCAAGTCAAATAGCTAGTAAGAGTAAAACAGCTAGGTGGCGCTAGGTAGCACAGTGGGTAGAGTATTGGACCTAGAATCAGGAAAACTTGAGTTCAAAGTTGACCCCAGACAGTTACTAGCTGTGCGATCCCAAGCAAGTCACAGCTTCAGTCTGCCTCAATTTCCTCATCTGTAAAATGGGGAAAATTACAGTGCCTGCCTCCCAGAGTTGTTCTGAGGATAAAATAAGATAATGTTTATAAAGTCCTTTGCAAATCTTTTTTTGCAGACTAGATCATTAAGGCTAACCAAGAGGTTAAGTAACTTGCTCCTGATTACCCAGCTAGTGGCAGAGGTAGGAATCAAACCCAGGTCTCTCCTGAATCCGTGTTCAGAGTATCACACAGCTTTTCAAATACTAGGTATATAGGGATGATCAGAGAAACAATCAATGCAAATATTTTTCAACAATATTTCCAACAGCTGCACAGTGAGATAAACCCACATGAACTAGATGATAATAATGATTTTTAAAAAAACACATTTAAACAGCAATTTCAAGTTTAGAAAGCACTTTCCTCACAATAAACCCTGATAAGTAAGCTTTGCAAGTATCGCCTCCATTCTACAGAAGAGAAGACTAAAGTTCAGGCATATGAAATGAGTTGCCCAGGGTCATAATGATAGCATGTATCTGAGGTGAAATATGAACCCAGGTCTCCTAATTCCTGAGTCCAGCACTCTTTCTTACACCTCCTTTCTCTGAATTGCAAAAGCACATTCCTGATTGAATGTTTTAAAACACATACCATATTGGCTTTTCACGTCTAACTATAATGAATCACACCTGCATTTGGCTATAATGTCTCAGCTTAATGTCACTTCTTGTACTGTAAAAGATGCCACAGCTTCCCTTTCAAACACTGCCATCTCCTGTATCTACCATCTACTACCGAGGCAGCTATGCAGATGGCCCTTTCTGATGACATGTGACCTTGACTCCTTGCCATAAATTCTTGGAAGGACACTTTATCACCAGCGCTAAGCCCTCATTCCCTGCATTCAGCAGCAAAGGCAACAGACTTCTTGGCTCTCTCAGCCTTCCCTGTCAACTTGCATTCATTCTTCCCCTTCATTCATCTCCCCGGCCCTAATGAGTTGTTTTCTTTGGGTTTAAGGAGCTGTTCAGTCAGGTGGTGTTCAAAATATCTTTTAAAGAGTAGCAATTTAATTTTCATCTGGTCTTTGTTTTTTCTTTTTAAGACTGGCAATGAAAAGAGCATGGTATGCAGAAGCAGACTGTAGCCACTTTACTGAGGATGATTTGTGCATGAGAAGGGGCATCAAAGGTATATAAGATCTAGAGCTGGAAGGCACCTTAGGAAATAGAATGCCAGAAATGCAATGAAATTTAGAAGGCATTTATTTCAGTTCTTTAATTCTTATAAATGAGGAAAATGAGATCCATAAATAATGATTATGATTAAGTGACTTGCCCAAAGTCATACAACTAGGAAATTACAGAGCCAAGATTCAAACCTATGTGCAGTATATCGAGTTGCAATATAGTGTTCTTCTAAGATACATATATGTATATATACATATATGTGTATGTATGCATATATGTATATGCATGTGTGATGTGTGTGTGTGTGTGTGTATGTGTGTGTGTATTACCTGAGTTCAAATTCTGCCTCAGACACTAGCTGGTTGATCTTGGGCAAGTCACTAACCCGTATTTACCTCATTTTCCTTACCTGTAAAATGAGGATAATAATATCACCTATTAATAATATTAACAATTAATTAATTAACAGTTGATAATTAATAATAGCAACCTCCCAGGGTTGTTGTAAGCATCAAATGAAATATTAATAGTAAAGCATTTAGCACAGTGCTTTGCATGTAATAAGAGCTATTTAACATTAGCTATTATAATACATACATATATATGTACATAAGGGTGTATGCATATACACCCATATGTATGAGATGGGCTAATCATGGAGTGTTAACAGCCAGAATAACTGATCACTAGTAATAATAGCTAACATTTATACAGAATTTTAAGGTTTGCAAAGCTTTTTGCAAGCACAGTGTCCCAAAAGTCTTAGTGCAGTTTTAAATTATTGAAGGCTTCAACTGCACTAAGACTTTTGGGACACTCTGCAAGTTAACTCATTTGATACGTTCAACAAACCTGGGAGGTAGGTGCCATTATTAGCCCAGCTTTACTGATGAACAAACTGAGTCTGAGACCAAATGACTTTCCCAGGGTTACCTAGCTAGTAAATATCTGAGGTAGGATTAGAATGTGGGTCTTTCTGTTGCCAACTAGCACTCTCCTCACTATGCCAGCACAAGTATTCATATAATATTAAAGGAATCAAAGCATGGCTTTTAATGCCTTTGGTAGATACTCTGTGGACTCCTTATAGGTGTGGACAAGAATTGCACAGGCTGGGAATGCATGGAAGGGCTGTCATCATACTGGCTGAGGGTGGACCCATACCCATGAGTGTAAAACTAACTGATGGAATAGCCTTGTACGAATGGTAGAAGTCAAAGATGACAGACACAAGGACCAGCAGCACTAGGCGGGGAAGTGGACTGCCACTCACTCCCCATTTCCAGAGGCCGTCAATGGGGCTGACCCTAGTTAGCAAACTGCTGATGGAGTAACCAGAGATTATATCAGCTCTTAGACCCCGTACTTCTTTACTCTTCCTAGGGTGATGGTGTTGAAGTCGATGGGCAGCCCTCATCCACTGGAATAATAGTAATTCCTATTTCTATGGCATGGACAAAGCCCTTTCATCATAACCATCATGTGAGATGGGTAGCATAATTAGTATCATTCTCATTTTATAGATGAGAAAAATGAAGCTCAGAGCCATAACTAGTAATTCTGGTACTCCGGGTCAGCACCGTGGAAACCACCCTCAACTCAACAAGGAAAAGGGAAAGGGAGAGTCCTCAGACCTCAAAATCTGTGGTGGAAGGGTAGGGAGAAGATAAGATAGGGTGGAAGAAGACCTCAGTGGATAGAAACTCTGATGGGTAGGCCAGGTGAAGCTTGCCAACAAAGAGAGAGGAAGCAGAGTCGGGCCAGGACACCTGGGGAGAAAGCAGACCATCTGGTAGCTTTCCATTTTAACTTGCTAACTAGGTGCTAAGTTTCATTTTCCCACCTGCTAAAAAGAATACAAATGATGTCCCTGGACTCTAAGTTTCTGTATCTTTGGGAAAATCTAGAATTGTCTTGACTTGCAGTTCTGGGTGAACTTAACCAAGGTCACATAGCTAATAAGTGTCAGATCTAGGAACTGAACGAAGGTGCCCTGTCTCCAAGCCCAGGGCTCTTTCTACTACATCACACTGTGTCATACATGTCCACCTAGTGCCTCTATACTCTAGGTGCCCATTATATTCATGCTGTCCCAAGACCTCCTCACTGGACTCCTCTCAGGCCCTAACACGGACCTGAAACTGAGACCCTGTTAAAGACTTTAACTTAAAAAAAAGGCCAAAGTCTCCCACTGCATCCAGGGCCATCTCTAGTTGTCCTGATCTTTACCTTGCCTTTGGACTCAGATGGCTCCAGAGGAAAAAGTGAGGGTGGTGACTTGGCACAGCCCTCCCTCACTTCAATCCAATTTGCATGTCATGGCATCACCTTCCTGATGTAGTGGTTCTGGAAGGGTTCCCCTTGGAGGGGAACAAACAGTAACAGCAACAACAATAAGGACCTATCTGTAACTTCCACTTTCTTACCGCGGGAGTTAGAAACTACCACCCAAAATGTATTTTATTTTATTATTGGAATAGATCATTTCAAGAATTTCCCTCTTTAGAAGTTCCTAACCTGGGGTGTATGAACTTTTTTTTAGAACAGTATTTTTATAACTGTATTCATTATTGTAAAGTGGTTTTACTTGTAATCTTGTGTATTTTACTTTAAGAATTTAAAAACATGATTCTGAGGTGTCCATAGGCTTTACCAGCCTGCCACTGGGGTCCATGTCACCAAAAAGGATGAGAATGCCTGCCGTAGGTGCACCTCCCTCGTAACAACAAAATGTTGCCTGGCCTACTCCAGTGAGGGAACCCAAGGCTAATTACAGTCTATGACTGCTTACAGTGTCCCCATGTAGCAATTGTCTTTGGAAACAT